CTGCAGCCACTGCAGCACAAGTTCAATCTTGGGCTTAGGGGATCTTTCCAGTCTCGCCCGCTGCTCCCCTCAGCAGTGTATTTCAGTAGATCCACCTATTCTGCTCCCCACTCTGTCTCGGGTGAATTCTCTCACCTCCCCCCCAAACCTCTGGCAACACCCCAGTTCTTGTATGCATTAATAAATAAATCTTTAAATAATAAATAAAGGACAAAGTGATAAAACTCAGGGACCATTTAGTTCTAGTGGTCCTCCCAAATGATACACAGAACAATGAAGAGTCTTTTCCAAGAACAAACCTCAATTTCCTGGATACTATTCTAATTCACTTTCTACAACTTACAAAATGTGTAAGTTAGCCGGGCTTACCTCCCTCTTCAGGAATGGGTGCTTTGTGGATTGCAGCTCACTAATGAGAAAGTTGTATGTGAAGGGTGTCAAGAACCTGTGAAGTATCTGGACTTCAGTTATACACAGGCAACCAACACAGTGAAAAAAACAATGATTTTATTCCCCTCCAGCTCCAATTTGATGCTAGGAGTATCCAGGTCAGGATGGTTAGGCAAAGGGAGAGAAAGGACACCTTAGATAGAGGAGAGATGCAGCATGATCCACTGGAGAGAAAACTAGAGGAGTAGTTAGAAAATCTGGGCTCTAGTCCTGGCCAGCAATGGCTATAAAGTAGCCACCGTTTTCTTTTGTGCATCCTTTCCAAGGTTCAAATAAATCGGGGCATAAATATCTTGTGCTGGTCATTTGGAATTTGCCACGTATTTCCCAAGAAAACTGTGTTATAAAATAATGGTTACTTTCCAGGAATCTATAAGAATTCCATCGCTGAAATTATTGCATATTTTGCAAAGAGGCATATAAATATTTTTTGCGACACTGATGAATGAGCAAAACAGATTGGCCAAAATGATTATTGTATTTTTTAATGGAAAACATTTGATCAAAAGAGGATATGGAACGTAAGATTGTGGTTAATAGGAAAGTGAAGTACTTCTTGTTGCCTCAGGATCATTTGTGAGGTTAATGGCTCACAAAGAAAAAAGTGCCAAGAGAAAGGGAAAAGAAAGTATAAGCCGCGTGTTTTTAAGAAGATGAGGATGACAACTGGTAAAGTGTATGAAAAAGGGTGAAAGGAGGAGCCGGTCTGGAAAAACCAGGAATGAGCCAGGCAGGAGTGAGCCACACTCAGAATCAAAGCGAGAAAGGAGGGCGTGTCAAAGTATAGGGATAAGGGTCATAATCTGGATTCCAGGAGACGTGGCTGTTAGTGAGTCCAGAAAATAGATCCAAGGCAGTAAGTCCCAGGGGAAAGGTGAAGTAAATGTTCAAGGCAGGTTCAAAGATTCAGGGTATCAGTTTCAACAGAGGCAGAAGCAGGGGTCTGAGCTGGAGCTCAAACTCCCAGGCCACGCTTTCAGACAGATTCAAGCTGTAGAAGACTCCTTAGCTCCTGGGGCCAGTATTGGTTCCAGACGGTGGGCAGAAGCGGCCGTGGGTGGATGGAAGGAATCAAGCAAAACCCAGAGGGACAGAACCAGAGCTAAAGAAGGATAGAAAGGGCCTCCCTGGTGGTGCAAGGGATTGGGACGCAACCTATGAAACTATCTGCAGCCAGGGAGCTACCCGCATGGCGCCACAGACCTCTCCTGTCTGGCCCACTGCTCACCTCAGCAGTGTATTTCAGTCAATCTGCCTGTTCTGTTCCCCACTCTGTCTCTGGTGAGTCCTCCCCCCCACATACCTCTGGCCTGTACCCCAGTTATTATATGCATAAAAATAAAATAAATCTTTTTAAAAAAAGGATAGAAATAAATATTTAGGGCCTCCCTGGTGGCACAGCGGGTTGAGCGCCGCACTGTGAAGGTGTCTGAAGCCTCTGCAGTGCGGATTTGATTCCTGGCAGCCCCGGGAGAGACCCACATGGTGTGGCAGACCTCTCCTGCCTCACCTGCTGCTTCCCTCAGCAGTGTCTTCCATCTGTCTGCCTGTTCTGCTCCCCGCTCTGTCTCTGGTGAATTCTCTCACCCTCCCATGCCTCTGGCCTGTGCCCCAGTTCTTGTATAAATAAATAAATCTTAAAAAATAAAAATAAAAATAAAGAAATAAACATTTTTAAAAGTCATGTGCCTGATCATCTGAACACAGATCCTCAAAAGAAACAGAAGCACAGTGGGTGGGTACAGAGCCTGGGAAGTGCTGAGAAAAGGCAAAGGGAGGCAGTCTCTGCCCGCCACCAGGGGGCGCCTCCAGTGCCAGGACAGCTTTGTTGACTCACAGACTTGGCAGTGGTGTGGCAGAGGGATGAGGACAATAGGCCGTCAACAGTTCACCACTTCAAGAGCATGTGTGTGTGTGTGTGTCTGTGTGTGTGTGTGTGAAGGAGAGAGAGAGAGAGATCAGCATGTCAAACACACAGACTAGTCCAATCTCTCACCTTTCTGCTTCCTGGTATTGTTAACATTCTAAGCACTATTATGACCAGCTTGGCTGGTAGTGACAAAGGAGGGTCAGGTAAAAAGACAAAACAATGATAAAAGATAAAGGCAAGATTGAGTTGGGAGGAAGAACAGGATCTAATGGATTAGAAACAAATGTGAAGAAAAGCAGGAACCCTTAAAAACAAATGAGAGAGGAAAATGTGTGGAGAGTCAAACTGATCTGTGAGGAAATGTGGAAAGACAGGAGAAGAAAGTCCAGAAAACATGTAATTCAGGTTATGTGATTAATTCCACTGAGGCTTGTCACCCTTTTCACATCTCATCTATTAATAGCCTCTCCACAGAGAAGCTACGCAGCAGAAATGTACCAAAACGTAGACTTTGCTCTTTGGGACAGCTATGCTCATTTTTGGTAAAAGATTTCAACATATGGAAGACTTTGAGGATGAATGTAAATCATTAGATCGTTCCAATAGATTGTTCCAGGTAAAAAAACGAGCGAAACTGCAGAACATTTGGGCTCTTTTTATGGAGACAGTGGAAGTTAAAGTGTTTAGAGACTGATTCATGAAAGATACACTTAAACCTACGATTTAAGTATTTGGATTTTAAACCATGCTGTCTTACAAATAAACAACAGGTTATTTAAATGATCAGAATAGGGGCCTCCCCAGTGGCACAAGGGGTTAAGCACCGTACTATGAAGCTATTCACAGCCACTGCAGCACGAGTTCGATCCCTGGCCAGGGAGCTACCCACATGGTGCAGCAGACCTCTCCTGTCTGGCCCACTGCTCCCCTCAGCAGTGTATCTCAGTCAGTCTGCCTGTTCTGTTCCCCACTCTGTCTCTGGTGAATTCTTTCACACACACCCCCCCCCCCCCCCCGTCTCTCTGGCCTGTACCCCAGCTCTTATATGCATAAATAATCTTAAAAAAAAAAGATCAGAATAAAGTGAGGGAGAGTGGAGGAAAATCACACAGTCCACTCTAAAATTTATCACTAGTCAGTTCATCGTGTTTGTCGCTGACTCTAAATTTCACCCAGTTTAAAGGTAGAAGAGGATTTGGATTTAACCCTCCAGCACTTAGTGACCATCCCTGCCTTTCTATAAGTACTTGATTAATGTGGGGAAAGTGTGTGTGTGTGTGGGGGGGGTGTGCTTCCTGAGAGGGGGACTAAGCACCCCGCTAAGGCCTTCTGAAATCTGAGAACTCAGAACGAAATAGGTAGGTGCAGCGAGGGGCGCAGAAAAGCGGGCCGGCGATGTAGTTTTTGCAAACTTCGACTGCTTTTTGACGTGATGCGTTTTCCCCTCCGATCGAGCAGAAAGCGACCGCTCCCCGGCGCTGCCTATTTCTGAAGCACACGCCCCAGCTGCCTCCCGAGCACGCTCGCGGCGAGGCGCGCAGGTCTCCACCCCTGCAGCTCGCCCCCCGCGCCCCTCCCGCCCTCCCGCCACATTGTGCGCGCGTCCCGGCGGCGGCCCCGGCCCGGCCGTCGCGGGCTCCGAGCCCGGCTCCTCCGGGGCGCTCACACGTGTCCATCCCCTGGGGGGGCGGTGGAGGGGGGCCCCCCCTCTTCCCTCCCGGCCGCTGATTGGTGCCTCCCCCTACCCCACCCTTCCCGCCGCGCGCGGCCTCCATCCTATTCGGTTCCAGCTCAACCAGCCCCACCGGCTTCTTCCCTGGAGGAAAAGGGCCACTTTGGAGCTCCGGCCGGCGCCGCTCCGGGATGGAGCCGAAGTGTTCACGAACAGGTGGAGCCCACTGAACTCCCCCGGCCTCCCGCGCCGGGGCCGCCCGCCCGCCGCGCCCGGCCGCGGCGAGAATAACTGAACTCCACACGTGCGCCCGGCCCGGCCGCGGCCCCAGCACCACCCCGCGGGCCCTTTAAAAGGACGCGACCACTCGGGCCGCGCGGGGGGGGCGAGACCCTGCCCGGCCTCGGTCGCCAAAGTCACTGGACTGCCCCGTCCCAAACCCCCGGCGAGCGCGGGGCGCCCCGCCGCCGCCCCGGGGGCGCCCCCCGCTCCCGGCGAGTCCCGGCCGTCGCCTGGCCCGGGGCGCCCGCCCCCGCTCCCCTCCCCCCGCGCCGGTGCGGCCGTCCGCGCGGGGTGGGGGAGGGGGCGGGGGTTGTTGTTGTGGTGCGGGCAGCCCCGCCCCCGCCTCGTGGGCGGCCCCTCCCCCCGCGCCCCTCCCCCCGGCGCCCCATCTGTTTCCCCGGGCGGCGATGATTATATTGTGCGGGGCTGGGGGCGGCCGCAGCCGCAGCCGCGGGATGGGGCGCGCGCGAGGACCCCGCCGGCAGCCGCCGCCGCCTCAGTGACTCGGGCGCGAGCCGCCGCCCCCCGCCGGCCGCCCGCCCTCAGCTCATGCGCCCGCCGAGCGGCGGCAGCAGCGGGAGGAGCAGCCGCGGCCGCCGCCACCCCCGCGCGAGGAGCTGAGGCGCCGGCCGAGGCGGCCGCGGAGCGCGAGGCGGCGCGGGGCGCGGGGCGCGGGCAGCGCGGGGGGCCGGGGCGCGGGCTCGGCCGCCGGCGCCGCGGCCGGAGATGTGCCCGGAGGAGGGCGGCGCGGCCGGGCTGGGCGAGCTGCGCTCCTGGTGGGAAGTCCCGGCCATCGCGCACTTCTGCTCGCTCTTCCGCACCGCGTTCCGCCTGCCCGACTTCGAGATCGAGGTGAGCGGCCGCGCCCCCGCCCTGCCGCGGCCCGGGGGTCCGGGGCGCCGGCGGGCGGCGGCGGCTCTGGGGGCGCGGGCGGCTCGGGCGCCGCCGGGACGGGCGCGGGGCACGAGGGCGGGCGCGGGACGGGGCGCGGGGCCGGCGCGCCCGGGGGGCCCGGGGGGCCCGGGGCGTGCGCTTTTGTGGCGCGGGACGGGCCGGCGCTCCCGGGACCCCGCGCGGGCGGGCGGCGGGGCGCGTGGGGGGCGCGCGCCCCTCGGGTGCCGGGGAGGCGGCCGGCCAGCTGCTCGGGCGGGGACGGGGTGCGGGCTGGGGAGCCGGGGCGCGCGGGGAGGCGGCGGGGCCCGTTGGGGGAGGGGTTCGCGCCGGGGTGGGGGGCGGCGCGTGGGGCTGGGGGGCGCCCTGGGCGCACGGCCGGGGCCCCGCAACTCTCGGGGCGCGCTCCGGGTGAACTTCGGGCGGGCGGGCGGGGAGGGGGGCCGGGGCGCGGGGGCGCGCGCTCCGTGGGGCTCCTCGGGGCTCCTCGGGGCTCCGCGGGCCCCGGCGCCGCGCGGGGAAAGTTTCGGACTCCGTTATTCTTCGGCTGCGCGCTGCCTCCGAGCCCACGGCCCTCTTTATGCCGGGACCTCGGGAGCCCTTTGAGTTGCTCGCGCCACCATTATCCCCCCGGGCGAGCGCAGAGGGAAGCGCTGGCCTCCCCGGCCAGGCCGAAGGTGCCTCCGCGCCGAGGCTTTGTGATCCGCGGGCCGGAACCCGGGGTGGTGGGCGCGGGGCCGGCGGCGGGGCGCGGGGTGCGCGGCGGCCCGCGAGCAGCTCGCCCCTCCGGCCGCCTCCTTTCTTCTATTTTGATTTTCGGAAGGGGGTGCGAAGTGCTTGGCTGGTTGGCAGGTTGAATTGCTCGCTCTCCTCCGGCGGGGCGGGGAGCGACTTAGCACCTTTTGCCTTTGGACAAAGGTAAATTGGAAACTGTTGGTCAGTGTTTCTTGCCCGGGCGGCCGGGGAGTTGGCCGGCGCAGTCCTCCAAATGAGAATCGCCCTTTTCTGTGGTTCTTGGGGAGGAACGAATCGCTCCTGCGGCCTCCCCACCCCCCACGGGGCTTACTTTCTGCCATTTCCAGATTGATTTTAATTTATTTACTTCTCACGTTTTGGCCCCGACCTTTATTTTGAGCGTCAGGGTGGTTGGCGGAAATATCATTTGCTTCTCAGATGAATGAAGTGTGGGAATTTGATCTCGTTGCAGTTACTGAAATCGGGAAAATAAATAGATCAAAGGGGTCGGGTGGGAGAATGAAGAGGAATGTGGGCTGATAAACTGGGGCCATTCGCTGGCTTTTGGCGATTCTTGTTTCTCACATTGATTAAAGCAACATGATTGAAATCGTGGATTTCAGTTTTTAGGAAAATATAGTAACTTGGGCGCTTTGGTCGCGCCACAGCGTTGGTTTCAAAGTGACTGTATCAAGTATGCTTTTTTACTGAAAATTGTTGGGGGACAACTTTTTGTGTTGATTGAGGAAGAGGAGCAGGAACACACGAACGAAAGGCTGGGGAATACTGGAAGTCAAGTGATGTGCAGCGATTATTCTCAGAGTCCTGCGTTTTCTTTACTTTGGTATAAAGTCTCCAGTAGTTCAGCTTTATCCTGCTGCTCAAAATGGTGGCTGTTGTGGGAGGTGTTGCTATGACAGTGCCATCTTGGGTGCTGGCAGTTTAACCCCTAACCCATTTTCTTGTACGATAACAAAATTGAGGTGGTGCTGGAATTACAAGGTTAGCGTCGAAGGACCTATCCTAAAAGTACTGTGGGGAAACTCGTCTTTGAAAATCCATGTATTCCCATTTTGTTGATGGAAAAAGAGAGGTAACTAATTTCACCTGACGTTGTTAACAGCCTATGTAGAGTAATAGCTTGTGAAATAAACTGGTTTCTAAGTATTAGTATTTCCACCAGGTTTAATTCCTAAAGGAAATCAGAGAGGTGATTGTTACAGAAATAAAACATCATTGTTTTTACAAGGCGAATCGTCAGGGCCTATCTGAGTTGACTTTTTTTTTTTAATTGACCTATTGAAACTGACACCTTGTTTAGTTACCTGCTACTTGAAATACACGCAAGAATGATCAGTGGAATCTAATGTACACAGTTTCATGACTATTCACACCTGGTTTTATTTGGAGATGTTTAATAGGTGGATAATAAATAATAGTGACTTTTTATCTCTGCAGTTCTTGGTAATCCTTCTCATGTTCGGTGTGTTATTATGGGGTTCATGTAAATTTTAACTTAAAAGTTTTCAGTAGTTAACAAGTTAAAATTTTTTGCATTAACTTTTTTTAGGCTTCTAACATTCAGTCGACACTAAGTGACAGTGCAAAACTTAACTGAAAACATCCGTTTTGATTCTAAGTATAAATAAGTAAATTTACCTTTACTTTGCTTAGGTGACTTATTAATCTAAGAGCAGTCTTCTGACATTTTGAGAAAGTCTCTTGGTTAGAGTTTATGATGCAGTGGAAGACCCTTCTTAAAAAAATCTAATGCTGAGTTATACCTGTTTGGCTAACTGGAAAAGCCATCCAGTCTTAATTTTATAGCAACTGTAAAGATAAAAAAAAGATGAATAGTACCAGGTGGTAGAAGTTAGGGGGTAGGTATCAGCTTTTTTAGGAAACCAGCTTTCAGCTGTGGAAAAGATCTCATTTAACCCTTGACCACCAAGCTGAACTCATGACTTTGTAGAAAATTTTGGGAGCAGAATCCTCAAAGTACTTCCATTTATCTAAAATGAAGCAATCTTTCATGCGAAGGGCTGAGAATTTGTGCTGCAGTTCTACAGGCGATCAAGACCTCCAAAACATGAATATTTTTATTTTTGTATGTAATTTTTTTTTTTTTTTTTACTTTGTTAATCAGCCGTTAGTTGTACAGTCAGTATATTTGATCCTTGGCTTTAGGGTCTATTTAAGGATTTGTGTGTTGCTAGGACATACCCCCAAATAAGGGTCCAGTAGTCAGTCATCAGACCAAAAATCTGTGAATGTATAGGTAATGTGTTATATACATTGAATTTCTGGTTTTAAAAAGAAATGTGTAAACATTATTTAAAACTTGAAAACTAGCAGCACATAGGTAAGAGTATTAAAACCACCCATAATCCCACCACTCAGAGATAAAAACTATTAACCTTGTATCCAACTCTCAGGGATAAAAGCTGTTAACTAATACAGTGTTTATGTGCCATAGAGTAGGGGTTTTTATTTTTCAGACCACAAGGTTGAAGTGTAACTGGACAACCGTGAATTAATGACACTGAATTCAATAGTTGTTGTTATTAAGCACCTACTATTAAGTGCTTAATTTTGGACAAGGATACTTACCAAAGTACCTGATGATTGACTAGTTTTCTTTATCTCAGTAGATTATCTGTTAATATTTCAGAATTGGTAATTGTACACCACTTCATTTAAATCAAGTACAGAATGTTCATGATTTATGATGGCTTAAGATTTTTCCTACAGTGGTATGGAAACACTGGACTGTGTGCTACTAGGTAATACCCTCTCCTGAAGCTGGGCAGCTTCCAGTCAGCCCCATGGTCAGGAGGGTAAACAACCCTTCCTGTGAACTGTTTTTCACTTCCAGTGCAGTATTTAACATATTACACGAGGTAGTCAACACTTTATTATTGAAATGCCTTGTAGGCTAATGTATGTGTTCTGAGTATGTTTATCATAGGCTAGGCTAAGCTGTCATATATATTATATGCATTTTTCAGTTAGTCATATTTTCAGTTTATGGTAAGTTCATCAGGACATAGCCCCTTCCTAATCTGAGGAAGGTCTGTATTTTATAATTGTTTAACATTCCAGTGGATTAAGCTGGTTGAGTTTGGTCGTGATTTGTTGAGAAATGAAAAGCAAATTGACCTTCCCAAATATTTAATACAGATTTTTTTTTCTTCGCCAGTTGCTCTTTACAGTAAATATAATATCTTATTTCACCAGAAAGTAAGGCGAGGGAGGATAGAATAATTCTCAGTGATCTGCAGTTAGCCCTAGTAGATGTGGAGTTGGGGACAGAAATCCCATCCCAGACATTTTAGGCATGTTTTTTCTAGCGTGCAGACTATTTGAAATCCTCAGGTAGAAATGCTCTGACTTGTATAGTAGCATCTCCTTCCCTCCCCCCCCCTGAACTTCCTGCATTTTCATACTTATTTTGCCTGCCTTTTATCTATCTCCTTCCTGGATGTGGTTGTATGTGGCTAAATAAGAATAATCTGGGGGCAGTATCTTTACCTCAGATTCCTAAAGTCAGCTCTTGGTGTTTCCATGGATCCAACCCCTTGAAAGCACCAAGGCAAAATTATTAGGCATAAAATTGTTCAGAGTAACTTAAAAGCTACATCAGTTACACCAGCAATTCCTAAACCTGAGTGGGCTGCATGGCTGGGCTGTAGATGGTCGGCGTTTGTATATATGCACACCTGTGCAGGAGAGCGCCTACTGCTTTCGTCGAATTCTGAAAGAGGCCCCCAACCATACAAAGGTTAAGAGGCCCTGAATTAGATGAAAGGGTAAATTGGCCCTGAATAGGGGAACCAGGAGCCTGATTTCATGACTCTGAAGATTCACTGGACTAGGAGTTAGGGAACTTTAATTCTTAGTCTAATTGTGCCACTGTCTAGCTCTGTGACTTTGACAGGTTAGAACAACCTAATGATAAATGATGCTTATATAGTGCTTTGTACATTTTCAGAATGTTCTCTCATTTTATCCTTAGCCACCCGTGACTATCACCATGAGGGTAGGAGTTACCCTCATTTTACAGAGTAGAAAATTAGAAGAGATGAGGAATTTAGAGACTTAAGTTGCTGGCACATAGACTGTCACCTGGACCTCAGATTTTTGGATTACAAATTCTGTGTTGTTGCTACTATATCACTTAAAAAAAAAAAAAGATTTATTTATGCATACAAGAACAGGGGTACAGG